AAAAAAAAAAAAAAAAAAAAGACTCTTCCCTAGATGGAAACAGTGAGACAATTAAATGAAATCCCTGAGACTGAACACCAAACTAGACTTTGGTTTATAACCAGGAGAGGATCACTGCATGCATCAGATTGTCACAAGCCTCCAAGAATAAGCTCAACAAGGCCACCAGATCACCCTGAATCCTCTGTAATCATTCAGAGGACTTGGTCCCATCGGGTCGAAAGACAGAGCTGACAACTATAGCAAGCACTTCCAGGGACCTGCCTATTGCCAACTTCAATCCTCTGACCCCAGGCAGTTTTCAGAGGAGTCCCTGCTAGCCCCCCCTTGGAAGCTCAGCTAGCGCAGATTGACCAGCATGGTGGCAGCCCCACCTTCCCACAGTTAGTACAAGAAAAGAAACCACTCACCGAGGAGATGGCAAACAAGGAGTTATCAAAGGACATGTCTGAAACTGAAAGAGAAAGAAAATCAAGGGTCAGGGACTAGTTTTAACTTCCCTACTCCCCACCCGCAGTCCACATGGGAAGAGGGTCCATTCTACAGTGTGGACAGTTTACAGATACACATGGTACCTTGTCTTTCTCCTAAGCAAAGCCTCCTTTGGGTGTCCCTCCCTGCCCTCAGGCAACTGGGTGCCTGAACTCCCAACTCTTATGCCAGAAAAACAAGTGTCAGCTCCTCCTTCTCCCAGCGTTCTTACTAATTGCTATTCCTGCTGTCTCTCCTGCCTGTCTCTGCTTAAACATCACTTTCTCTGGGGGACCACCAGCCTTGTCCCAGGCGGGGTCTAATGGCACCATTGGCTATTTCTGGGCAGAGACCACACTTTTCTTGGTGTCTTGATCATCCCGGGACCTTCCCAGATTTTTTTTTTTTTTAGAGACAGAGCCTCAAGCTGTCCCCCTAGGTAGAGTGTGTGGCATCACAGCTCACAGCAACCTCTAATGCCTGGGCTCAAGCGATTTTCTTGCCTCCACCTCACAAGTAGCTGGGACCACAGCCACTTGCCACAACGCCCAGCTATTTTTTGGTTGCAGCCATCGTTGTTGTTTGGTGGTTCCGGGCTAGATTCACACCCACAGGCACCGAGCATCCAGGAAAGTCTTGCTGGGTTTTTCTTTCCCACTCAGGATCTGTTCAGTAAGCTGAGATTTCTGAGGGCTGACCAGGTGTGCTCCAAGCCCCCTTCCTTCCCAACATCTGTATCCTAGTGATTCTGAGTTTTTGTCTCCTGAACTGACCTCTCTCTGGAGCTCCAGACCCATGTCACCATCTGCTCTCCTGCACCACCAGCTGTGGTGGCAGTCTCTGCTCTCTTGTGCCTCCAAGCCTATCACTCTCCCAGGTCTCGCTCTTCCCCCTTGACCCGTTTATTGATCCAGAAGCAATGCTGCATTTGCCATTGTCTGATCTACCCTGACTTGCATCTGTTTGCTTCCTCTACCTTTGCTGCCAATATGCAAACCAAACCACCCAATTATGGGTGCATATATGACCCCTTCGGCCTCCATCTGTTCTCCTCAAAAAAGTCACCAGAGGGAGCCTGTGAGCACCTGAATTGAGTTCCCTCCCTCCTCCACTCAAAATTCTCAAGGGCTCCCACCTCCATTGCCCTGTTGCTGTGTGATTTGCAGGGACAATACCCCTCAAAAAAGGGAGGCAGGTTCTTTTTTTTTTTTTTTTGAGACAGAGCCTCAAGCTTCCCCCCTGGGTAGAGTGCTATGACATTACAGCTCACAGGAACCTCCAACTCCTGGGTTCAAGTGAGTCTCCTGCCTCAGCCTCCCAAGTAGCTGGGACCACAGGCAC